TTTAAGAAGTTTTTAAAGTACCTTCAAAGTAATACTGTATCACTTATTTAATATTCATATACCAATTATTTGGAGCACTCCAGCTATGTACAGATGGGTGAGGACTATGAAGACAAAGATTCAAGTAACAATCTTGTGGGGTCATTGTGTTGTTGGAGGACTTTGATAAGGGAGGCACAGACTATTCAGGAAAGACAGGATATTTAGTTTGGAAAGGGGATCAGCAAAGTTTGTTTAGGCAACACTTTGTAAGTGATCTTTGACAAGTGAGAAGGTGGTGTGTTCCTGGCAAAGAGAAAAGCATTAATATAGTAAAAGACAAGGGAATACAAGCTTTATGGAGCTGTGAGAAGTTTCAGAGTACGTATGTCTTGTGATGGTGGGAGGAGCCTAAGCTCTCTCTAAAGAATTTCTCATTACCTTTGATAGTTTTATCACCCCACTCCAAACTTGCTAAACTGGAGGTTCTGAAATGGAGCCAGGTACATATATTTTGAAAACAAATTCCATGTTGATTGTTGGGTTTACTTGCTTAAAGATGACCACTTTTAGGTCAGAAAGAATAAGGCATTTGATTCATCTTGAAATTTGGGGGTTTGCCCTAACTGCAATGAGAAGCCATTAAAGAATTTTAAGGGAGAAATAATATGGATTGAAGAGTGAAAATAGATGTAGATAAGATAAAAGACTTAAAATAGTCTCTGTGAGAGTTGATTTAGCCTGAACTTAAACACTAATGGGAGAAATAAGATCACAAATATGAGAGATATTAAGAATCTAAAATTAATAGTCTTATATTTATATAGTGGAAACTTAGATACATTGTGATTTAATTTCTCTTAATCACAAATGGCAAATTACTTGGCTGTCCTTCAGAGACTTAAGGTTGGTGTGAAATGAAGATTGCCCTTGGTGCTTCAGCTAATTTTCCATTGGTCTAAATCTAGAAAGCAGTGTGGAGCCATTAAAGAACTTACAACCAGAAAGTCATGCACAAAACCACATTTTAGATCTTTTGCTTGGGCCTTGGATAAAGAGCATAGCCTGGAAGGGCTCCTATTGGAAGCAGGAGGGTGGTTGGGAAGTTACTACAATCTGGATCGGAAGTGATGATCCAGTAAGTGGAGATGATGACAGTGAGGGTGGAGAGAAGGTGAAAGACCTGGGAAGAAATATGAGGAGCTGATACCAAGGGCTCAAGTAGAAAGAAATGTTTTGAAAGTGATGATGGCAGCATATGTACAAATGTGCTTGACACAATGGATGGATGGATGGATGGCTTATGATAAGAGTTGTAAGAACCCCCAGTAAAATGATTTTTTAAAAAGAAAGAAATATACAGGCCCAGTAGGACTTGGGGACACCTGAAAAGAAAATGGTTTAGGGTCACCTGAAGGTTTCTGGCTTCTGTGACTTCAGTGGTTGCTGAAATCTCTTTCCTAAGGAATCTCACAGAGTAAAGAAATTTTCAGTGTATATGTCCTGCTTGTACTCTTATGGTTGTGGTTATCGTATTTTATAATTTTTTATTGTTGGTTTCCTCTGCCAACTAAGAACATAAATTTTCAATTCATGTAGCATCAATATTTTATAGGCAAGAAATAGTCCTGAAATACCACCTGCCAGTATGACTGACAAAAAGGAAGTGGTGACTGCAGCCGATAATGAAAAAGATGATTCTGAATTTGACAGTGACAAACACCCAAAAGAGGTAAAAATAATTTTATATTGAAATGTTCTATCTCTGGTTTCCTTAGGTGAGGTAGACACCATTTTAGGCTTACAAAAAAGAAAACTGTATTATATGTAGTTGACTTTTCAAAAAATACATTTGATCTGAGGTGTTATGTTATTTTAAAATAATTGCCTTTTAGAACACCTTTGGTTCCTAAAAAAATGTTATCATTATTTTTCAGGAAGATCCATTTAATGTAGAATCAAGCTCATTAACAGATCCAGCTGCAGATTCAAACTTGGATTTTTTCCAGTCTGATCCTTTTGTTGGTAGTAAGTATTCTTGTTTTCAAATCATTGCTTTACAAATGATTTTTAAAAACTATAATAATGGAATTTAAATGTTTGAGAACCTATTTATAGTAATGATAGAGAGACAAATGAAGGTTTGTATGTTCAGATGTTCTATTTGTTCTCAGACAACTAAACCTTGGAACTAAGCTTTTTATGGTGTACCTTAGGGTTGTATTCTCTTGCCATTCTTACTCAATCTGTATGCTGAGCAAGTAACCAAAGAAGCTGGACTATATTAAGAAGACTGCTTTGTCAGGATTGGAGGAAGACTTACTAATGACCTGAGATACAGATGACAATTTTGCTTGCTAAAAGTGAAAAGGGTGTGAAGCACTTACTAATGAAGATAAAAAATTACAGCCTGCAATATGGATCATCCTTCAACATAAAACAAAAGTCCTCATAGGTGGACTAGTAGCAATATCATGATAAATGCAGAAAATATTGAAGTAGTCAAGAATTTCATTTTACTTCGATCCACAGTCAACACTCTTAGAAGTTGCAGTGAAGAAATCAAATGACATATTGCTGCACAAGCAAGCTCTCTTTAAAATGTTAGATAGAAAAGTTGTAAGTTTAAGGACTGAGATGTACCTGCTTGAAGTCTTGATGTTTTTGATTGCCTCATATGCATGTGAAAACTGGACAGTGAATAAGACCAAAGAAGAATTTTGAATTATGGTGTTAGTAAAGAATTTTATATATACCATGTACTACCAGAAGAGCAAACAAATCTATCTTGAAGAAGTACTGTCAGAATGCTGTTGAAACAAGGATGGTGAGACTGCCTATGTGCTTGGACACATTATAAGGAGAGACCAGACCCTGGGGAAGGACATCATGCTTGGTAAAGTACAAGATCAGTGGAAAAAGGAAGACTGAATTATATGGATTAAGCACAGTGGCTGCAAAAGTCAGTTCAAACATAGCAACAACTGCTAAATTAGTGCAGCACTGAGCCATGTATCATTTTGTTGTACCTATGTTTACTATGAGCCAGAATCAACTGGATGGCACATAACAACAATAGGACCCTTTTGATTAAGAATGTGTTTCGTCAAGGCAGGGATTAAAGGAAAAAGATGTGACAGAGCAGCACAGGAGATTGGGAAATGTTGGGTGTGGTAGTCACCTAATCTGGTGTCAATTTAAAGATTAAGAGTGTAGGGCTGGAGTCTAGGCTGTTAATCTGGAGATGGGCATGAGACTTGTGTGTGGGCATGGCCTTCTGAGATTTCTGGGAAATCTGGCACTTCCTCCTTGGTGGCGGAAGACACCTCTCTCTCTGCCACTCCCTGGGAGACATTGCAGAAGACAAACCACAAGAGGTCTGGATGCAACCAGACCTCTGAAGCCAGAGAAGCCACAGAGACCCCCGACAGTGCTGAGATGCTTACAATGCCACTGGACCCAAAGGCTTTCTACCCACTGGCTTGTGATCATCCTGCATTTGACTTCATTGCATGTGTTTCGTGAGTCTGAAGAGCACTTTATAGATTGGTATCAGACATATGGGCTAATATCAGATTTATGGCCTTGGACTGGACTGGGTTGGGATGTTTTGTATATAAAATTCTTTCTTATACACATATGTGTGTTTATGCATTTGTTTCTCTAGTCTACCCAGACTAACACATTGGGTCAGCCAATAATTTGTTAAAAGAGATAATGCCATTCTTTTAAAAGAATGATATTGATAGGAGGAGTAGAAGCCTGATTACTATCCTTAAGGTGCTTCCTGTCTTGCTGAAGAAATATAAGGTAGATAAAATATCTGCTGTCTTAGTAAACTAAGTTAGATACCATTTGTGGCAAAACTCTTCTGTGCCTTATTTCCAAAATAACAAATGTTTCCACAAAAGTAAATATTGTTATTTTGATTTCTACTTATTTATTTTATTACAGGTGATCCTTTCAAGGATGATCCTTTTGGGAAAATTGGTTAGTATATTATTGAGATCCACCTTAGCTTTTATTTGATTCTGCATAATTAGTTGTAGTTTGAATGGTGGTTCACAAGGTGGGTAGTTATAGGGAATGAACTTGCTTTGTAATCAGTTTTGAAACTGATTGAAGGCACTTCCAAGATATTATATGTACCTAGCATTTTCAGAAAAGGAGTGGTAGACCTTTTTGAATTTGCCAAATAAACTGTAGCATTGCTAAGTGTCATCTTTAGTTAGTTTTATCAAGGAGCCTCAGCTTTTAATGCCACACATCAGTTGTTCATCCAGTACCTGATTTTTTTTTCATAAATTATATGAGAGCTTCAAAAAGTTCATGGGAAAAAATGCTATTTTTCCCATGAACTTTTTTTTTTTTCCCATGAACTTTTTGAAACCTCCTTATTCTTTGTCCTAAGTAATTCAGTAACGTTAACAAATGTGGTTGATAAAATTATGTGAACATTATGAATAATAAAATCAAGTTAAATGACTTTATAGTGAGAAAGAAAATTATCAATAGGGAAGTTTTGAAGATATTCTTTCTGTGGTATTTTTGTATAGGAATAAAGCAAATATGATGTACCATTTAGTTTTGCTTCCCACACTTGTTCCAAACTATTGGCTATTAGCTTTGAGCTCTGAGGGAGAACTATACTTAGGAGATTTGGGTTTTGCTGCAGTCCTTAATTATGATAGCATAAAATAATGCTGTTCTGTTAAAAGCATGAAATCCATAGAAGGATTATAAGTTTGATGTAATTATTTCTAAAAAGGCTAGACTTACTGAACTTATACAGACCAGAGGAACTGGTATCTAGGGGAACTACACCATTACCCTGAGATACCCTTTACACTTTGAACTGACTTTGCTCCCAGGGGTCACCTTTCCGCTAAATAATAGATTGGCTCATCAAATAAACAATATCACCCTGAGGACTGACCTCATTAAAAAAAGAAAAACATCTGTATGAGACCAAATGGTCAACATTTATCTGAAAGCAAACATGAGAATTTGGATGTTGGGGAGATGCTTAGAGAGAGGGTAGAAAAGCTAGATTAAAAAGAGAGAGAAAAGAAAAGCTAGATTAGTGGAAAAAAAAACAGCAAATGTAGAAATAATGGAAATGTTGATATACTATGGCAAATATAAACAGGGTTCCTGAACAATATATATAGAAGTTGTTAAATAGATACTAAATTGGCTGTGTAAACTTTGGCCAAATGTTTAAAGAAAAAAAAGTGAGTCTTAAAATGGGATCACTTGAAAATTTTATGCTAATTTTTCAGAATAACTTTATTAGGTGAAATATTCTATATCATCAAAATATGCAAAGAATTAGTGATCCCCAAAAGAAAAGGAATGACCAGTTTAGGTGAATTATTTAAAGG